AGCGGAAGACTTAGATACCAATGATCCGAACAATCAATATTTCAATGCAGCCCCGAACATACATCATCATCATCATCCCATGGTGTGAAGGGGTCTGGCGCTCACACAGGAAGAATGCGCCAGCCCCAACCATACACAGACGAAGAAGAGGGGGGTTAGACGAAGAAGAGGGGAAGATGGGAATGTCGTCAACACCAAGTCTTCGGCACAGGCCAAAATAGTCCCTCGTCAAAATGACTGAATCCCAATGTCGAGTCTGGATCCAATGTCGTCAAGTCTCAAGTCACAACTCTCTCTCTCTGTAGTAGTCCACTGATACTGAGAAGTCAGGTGGTGAGAGGGGAAGAAGAGATGGTGGACTTAGAAGAGGAAGAAGAAGAACTCTCTCTCTCTCTCTCAGTCCGGTACTAACCTGTGAAGTTGGCGCCTTGATGCAGGTACCTCGAAGATGGAGCTGGAGCTATGGCACCACAGGTAAGTCTCGCTGGCCTCCGCCAGCCATCTCTCTCCCACACTACTACTACTACCTACAAGCGCCCAGCGCTGAAGACTACTACTAGGGCTACTAGCGCCCAGCGCTGAAGACTACTGCTAGCGCTAAGCTACTCCCTGCAGCGCTCCTCCTGAGTGCTGCGGCCGAATCCGGAAGACTACTCGTGCCTACTGTCCAACTACCTGCCCGTGAAGTGCATGGGAACTTCCTATGTACTACTCGGGTGCCTCCTGACTGCAGGGCGAGGCAGTCCAGGAGGCTGCTCTTGCCAATGCCGAAGGGAGTCAGGGGCTGCCGCTGCAGCTCCTGCTTGAGGCTGTCGTGGGGAACAGGCCAGAAATAGCCTGTTCCCGAAACCCTGTTTTTGTGCCTGAGTCTTAGGGTAGGTCGATCTTATGAGGGCCCGAAAGTGACCCTCCGTTTCAGGCTGAAAAGCCCTGTTTTAGGCTGAAACGACATAGGGCCTGCAGGCCCTCGTTTTTCAGTATTTCAGGCTGAAACGACAGGGGCCTGTAAGCCCTTATTTCTAGGCTTTTAGGCTGGAAATGCGGGACGGGCCCTGCAGGCCCGTGTGGCTAYGCAKTATGCCACACMCCCCCCTCCTTGAAAGACCGAGCTTACCTGCGAGGGCGAAGCTGTCTGTCTGAGGGAGGGACCACAGTCCGGGTGGGAGGGGCAGGTCATGAAGGTCCCTGAGCTAACCTTTGTCGCTCGTAGTGAGCGTAGATCAGCGGTGTGGATGCTTTCAAATCTGTTCCTGAAATCCACCGAGTGTCGTCGGGATCGCATGCTCTGAATGTAACTTTGTACTGTTGAGGCTCGTTGCCGTACTTGCGATCCGTGATGACGCGGTCAACCTCCTGATGACCATCCATAGATGGAGGGTCCTGCGATCGTCGGCCTGGGAAGTCGTCGCTCTTAGCTGGTGTATATGTTGCCAGCTTCGAGGAGTGAAAGACTGGATGGACCGTCATATGCGCCGGGATGTTGATCACAAATGAAGGGCCATCGGGCTCATCGCCCGCGGCTGATGTTACGGGCCATGGTCCAAACCACTTGGGAAGCAGTTTGCGTGAAACATCCTGTTCCAGTGCAAACTCTTCCGCGGAGACCCAAACCAGATCACCGGCGCGGATGGGACATGGCACACAACGCCTGTTGGCTTGCTGCTGCATGCGGACTTGAGCCTTTTGCATGTTCGCGCGGGCTTGAGCCAACAATTCCCTGTACTTCCGGACGGAAGCGG